TTTTTTGAATCAAATTGTGTTGATTTATGATACTTTGGAAAAGAAAAAATGAAGAAGAAGAAAAACAACAAAAGAAGTACATGGTTTCTCGGGCAAACTTCTCCACACATTACAATTTGTTGAGAGAAGATGACATTGTGGCATACGAATTAAAAAAACGAGAAAATAAACAACACAAGATTTACGTGATTCGGCAATGTGTCTACGTCCAAGGCGGCTGAGCGATATATTTTATTATGAATCAATCTCAATACATCAATACACCATGTATTTATTGTTATTATTGAGAGGAAATAAAAGTATGGACTTTTCTATTAAAATATTGTAATGAGTATTGGTTTTGTGCCAATTGAGTTTGTTTTCATTTGCCAATTTGAGTGTTTTTTAGTGGAGGATTTGTTACCCGAAAATTGTCCATTACTTTGCATTGGTTTGTGTGAAGATTTGTACCCATATCAGGCCATACTGTTCAATCTCATTCCCTCCTATAAATATGTGTGTTCGGACAGAAGGAGAGGAGACACAAGAAACACACCGAAAAAGAGAGGAAAAGAATATAAGTGAAAGAAAAGATAAATTTATGTCCAAATATCGGATATAAAAATATCAAAAGAGAGAAACAAATGATATTTTTATTTGTTTTATGATATTTCTTTTATTGTTACGTGCTCAATTCTCGACTCCGTTCCCGTTCGCCGGAGCTCGTAAATCTGGTGTGCTACAGATTTAGAGACGTTTGTCGTTGTATCTTTGGGGAAGTTACGCCTGAACCGTTAGCTGCCACACGGGGCGTATTCTTCTTGCGGAAAGAGTTTTACTCGCCTCGGCTAAAATCTTTCCGTTTTTTCAGTTGTAATTTATTTTTCAGTTCAATTGTAATTTTCTATTTTTTAGATTATTTGTAAGAACTGAAAATACATATCGGTTCGTAGGATTCCCGTTTAATTTTACACACCATATCCAACAATCGCAAGAAGAATATTCAGTCATCCTACTGAACTGATGGCATCCACCGGAGCAGGTTCCAGCTCTCAGCATCTGATCAATCATGTACCGGCTGTCCATGTTCCTACAGCTGAAAAGCCCGAAAAATTCAATGGGCTTGACTTTAAGAGGTGGCAACAAAAGATGCATTTTTACCAGAACACTTTGGGTTTGGTGAAATACCTGAAGGACGACCTTCCGGTCATTTCTGAGAATGAGACCAATGCAGAACTACGCGCTGCGTACGATGCTTGGGGGCAAGGTGACTACCTTTGTCGTAACTATGTCCTGAACGGGCTTAGTAACGAGTTGTACAACGTGTACAGCTCTGTTGGTTCTGCCAAGGAGCTTTGGGATGCCCTGGAGAAGAAGTACAAGACGGAGGATGCCGGGGCGAAGAAATTCGTCGTCGGCAAATTTCTTGACTTCAAGATGGTTGACACGAAGACCGTCGTGTCACAAGTGCAAGAGTTCCAGCTGATCTTGCACGATATCCATTCTGAAGGGATGACTTTGAGTGAGTCATTCCAAGTAGCGGATGTGATCGAGAAGCTGCCGCCAGGCTGGAAGGACTTCAAGAACTATCTCAAACACAAGAGAAAAGAGATGAGTCTTGAAGACCTGGTTGTTCGTCTTCGTATTGAGGAGGAAAACCGTAATTCGTCAGGAAAAAGCCCGATAATGGAGGCTCGTGCGAACTTGTTGGAGCAAGGAAATTCGAGCAAAAGGAAGCCCCTTAACAAAGGGAAGCAGCCCGCCAAGGTTTGGAAATTCACTGGATCTTGTTACAACTGTGGAAAGCCAAACCATATGGCAAAAGACTGCAAGAGGCCAAAGAAAGCTGGGCCAAATAAAAGGCAACCGAGTGCCCTTGTTGCTGAACACGGCCCTGTGCCGGGTGAATTAACCGACTTTGACATGTCGGCTGTGGTGTTTGAAGCCAATTTGGTGGATAACCCGAGGGAGTGGTACATCGATACTGGTGCCACTCGTCATGTGTGTTCCGACAAGGAGGTGTTCTCTGAATACAATCCTGCTACGGGTCGGAAACTACACATGGGAAACTCCTCCACGTCTGATGTGGCTGGAGTGGGCACTGTGGTGCTGAAGCTCACTTCTGGAAAGGAGTTGAAGCTGAAGGATGTTCTGCATGTCCCAGACATCCGCAAGAATTTGGTCTCCGGATCACTTCTTGTTGAGCATGGATTTAGGCTGGTGTTTGAAGCTAAGAAGTTTATTCTTAGCAAGTATGGAACATTTCTTGGTCGTGGTTATCTCGACAAGGGATTGTTCAAAATGAATGTAATGGCCGTGAGGCGTGTAACCGTTAATAATAAAAAGCCTATTTATGTTTATACCATTGAGTGTTCTGATATATGGCATATTAGATTGGGACATGTAAATCTAAATGCAATTAAACGGTTGATGAAACTAGAATTAATTCCTAATTCTAAAGTTGAAACAAATACAAAATGTGAAATTTGTATTGAAGCAAAAATGGCTAAGTTGCATTTTCTCTCGGTGGAAAGAAGTACTGAACCATTAGGTTTAATTCATATTGATGTATGTGATATGAAAAGTGTGCAAACAAGAACCGGTAAAAAGTATTTTGTAACTTTTATCGATGATTGCACAAGGTTTTGCTACTTATATTTGTTAAGAAGCAAAGATGAGGTTGTGGAAGCATTTAAGATATATAAGACCGAAGTTGAAAATCAACTCGGCAAAAGGATTAAAATAATCCGAAGTGATAGGGGTGGGGAGTATGTATCTCCTTTTGAACAAATATGTTCTGAATATGGCATAATTCATCAAACGACGGCCCCTTATTCTCCACAGTCGAACGGTGTTGCTGAACGCAAAAACCGTACGTTAAAAGAAATGATGAATGCCATGTTGATCAATTCAGGATTACCACAGAACATGTGGGGGGAAGCTGTTTTGACAGCAAATCATATCCTGAATAAAATACCACCTAAAGGGAAAGATGAGACTCCTTACGAAATGTGGAAAAATCGTAAGCCATCTTATTAATACCTGAAAGTGTGAGGGTGTTTGGCTAAGGTTTCAGTACCTGAACCAAAACAAATGAGAATCGGGCCAAAGACGGTCGATTGTGTATTCATTGGATATGCGTACAATAGTACAACATATAGATTTCTGGTTCATAAATCAGAAAATCCAGAGGTATCTGTTGGTACCACGATTGAGTCAAGGAATGCTATATTCTTTGAGAATGTTTTTCCTATGAAGGAAAGGGCAGAATCTAGTTCTAGTAAAAGAACGTATGAAACTGCTAGTGGTTCTATACCAGAGGGTACTAATGAAGAACCGAGACGTAGTAAAAGGGTAAAAACGGCTAAAACGTTTGGACCTGATTTTATTACGTACATGTTGGACGATGAACCGAGTTCCCTTAAGGAAGCTCTGTCCAGCCCAGATGGACCACTCTGGGAAGAAGCTGTAAATAGCGAAATTGAGTCCATTATGCAAAATCATACTTGGGAGTTGGTTGATCTCCCTGATGGTTGTAAACCTTTAGGATGCAAATGGATCCTAAAGAAAAAATATAAAGCTGATGGATCGATTGATAAGTTTAAAGCACGTTTGGTGGTCAAAGGCTTTAAACAAAAGGAAGGGTATGATTTCTTTGATACCTATTCACCTGTTACGCGTTTAGCGTCGATAAGAGTGCTTCTCTCGATTGCTGCTTTGCACAATCTTGAGATTCACCAAATGGATGTCAAGACGGCATTTTTGAATGGTGAATTGGAAGAAGAAATATACATGGAACAACCTGAAGGGTTTGTTGCACCTGGACAAGAGAGAAAAGTGTGTAGATTGATCAAATCCTTGTACGGACTGAAACAAGCTCCGAAACAATGGCATTTGAAATTTGATGACGTGATGTTGACAAATGATTTCAAAATCAACGAATG